TGTGGCTGGAGGGCAACTTCAAGTATCTTTCTCTGTCATTCCCCACCTTATTTTGTGAGATACGGTCTCTCACTGAACTGGGAACGCACCAATTAGTATAGACTGGCTGGACAGCAAGCCCCTGGGACCTGTCTCTAGCCCCAGTGTCCACACTGAAGGTCTCACGATTGCACAGGAAGCACTTTTCCCTCCGAGTCATTCCTCCAGATCCCAGTTTGTACTTTTAGAAGAGGATTTGGGCTGGTGATGTGGTTCAGTGTGTAGCAGTGATTGCAGCCAGGCTTGATGATCTGATCCCAAATCTGATAGGTGGCAGAACTGACTTCTGAGAGTTGTCCTATAGCTTCCACACACGGACAGAAGTACATGTACACACACACACACACACACACACACACACACACACACACATTTTAGAAGAGGACCTGTTGCAACAAAAACTGAGATATAAGTTAGTTTAACCTAACCATTTCATAATAAAAGATCATGTTGTATGATCTAAATATATTCAAATGTTTAAATATATCTTACTTTTTTAAAAAAAAAAAAGGGTCCCCTGTAGCTCATTTTGGCCTCAAACTCACTCTGTAGCCCAGACTAGCCTAGGACTAGCAGCAATCCTCCTGCCTCAAACTCTCAGTGCTGGGAAAACAGGTGGGAGCCATTCTATCCAGCTATATCTTACTTTTTAAAAGTAAAATGGAAAGAAATAGGGTGTGGTGGTGCACGCCTTTAATCCCAGCATTTGGGAGGCAGAGGCAAGAGGATCTCTGAATTTGAGGTCAACCTGGTCTACACATGAGAATCTATTTATGTGCCGAGTATACAGAATTAATTGCTACTTCGTCAAATTTTTTTTGTCACAGATACTTTGTGACTTCCCAATATGTGACAGGCACAAGATATGTTTATAGACATGTTTCTACTTTCAAGAGTCACAAGGTTTAAGCACATAAAAACATAATCAGATATTTTCTATATCTGGGGACTTATCTGCCCCCTAAGTCCTCTATCCTTGACCTGATCTCAGTTTGACAGACTCAGACTTTACATGTGACAGACACTCACAAGTGTACATGGCTGGCATCAATCCAGAGATCGCCTCCTAGAGAATGTATATTTTCTTACATCTAACACCTAGCAAGTTTTCAAATAATTTGACTGTATTTCCATAGTGATAGACTTGAGGAAAATCACATGCAGTTATGAGCTCCCCCTTCCTCTTAACTTTTTTTTTTTAACCACCCATTGCTTGTCCTCTGGAGGCTCTGAAAGTGTCTTTTTCATGTATTTCATGTTTGCCCTCATTTCCTGGAGGGAATGGTCCGTCCAGTCAGAGCCCCCAGAAGAACCCTTGCTCCCATCGCCCCATTCCCGCTCCCTCTCCTTCCTTCTCACCCAACTCAGGAATACAGTCCAGGTTGGTGTGGAGAGCAAGAGCTGGTCCATGCCCCTCTCTAGACAGTTTCACAGCTACTAGGAGTAGCTTCTTTTTTGAAAGATGTGCACTGATTTGTTAAGCTCACCCAGTGTTCCTTAAATCCATGGTATTTTGGATATTTATATATTTTGGGAAATGTGTAAACACAGTTGAAAATACAGCATTTCTGGCCACCCTTCACTTGTCCAGAGAGCCTTTTGAATACACTCAGCTGTGCAGCAGAGTCTGGGCAGCCTGGACAGATGTGGGAAAGCCCTTGACTCCTTTCACAGGAAGGCTTTACAACCCCACAGCTGCCTGTGACTACTGGATACTGGCTTCACAAACTTATAAAAACACATTTTACTGTTAAAAGTAGAAGGAATCCTTTTTAACCACACAGAAAGTAACACACACACACACCTGTGCATGCTGCGCGCGCACGCACGTGTGCAAACATACACACACACACACACACACACACACACACACACACACACACATACAAATCCCTGTGCCCTGACCACACAGATAACATATGTTAAGATTAGGGACAACATTAAAAAAAAAATTAGGCTTGAGCCAGGCATTGGTGGTGCACGCCTTTAATCCCAGCACTTGGGAGGCAGAGGCAGGCAGATCTCTGTGAGTTCGAGGCCACCTGGTCTGCAGAGCTAGTTCTAGGACAGACTCCAAAACAATACAGAGAAACCCTGTCTCAAAAAACAGAACAAAACAAAACAAAAATTAGGCTTGAACTTATAGCTGATGAGAATCCTAGCCTGAGAGGAAACAGTAGAAGAGATAGAAAAGTACCACAGAGACTCTATAATTGTCTGTGTTTAAAAAAGAAAAAAGAATCCCACTTCAGAATAGCCTCAAGTTTTTCCCTCAGGAAAATAATCGGAACTTTGTTGATGAACACAGCCATCAGTGAGGGGTTAAATATGCTCAGTCACTGCCATTATTGGGGAAACCAGTTTAAAACTTGTGCCACTTAAGAGCTGAGGCAGGAGCATTACTCTAGGTCAGGAGTTCAAGAGCAGCCTGGGTAATAACAGTGAGACCCTGCTCTAAACAAAACAACAACCCTCAAAACAAACACACTTTTTCATGATTGCAAATGGTTTAAAACTCAAGTTTTGAGCCAGATGGTGGGAGTACAAGGCCGATTTCAGTTTTTTGGTTTTTGTTTCTTTGTTTTTTGTTCTTTTTCGGTTTCAGTGTTGCCTGTGGTAGTGGGAAGAATAAAACATTTCACTGGAAGTTCAGTTGTCTTTGAATGTTTGATACTGAGTGTGTGTGTGTGTGTGTGTGTGTGTGTGTGTGTATGTGTGTGTGTGTGTGTGAAATGACATTAAATGTAATTCCCCTATCTCTGCCCCACTCCCCAGGACTGGGAATCGAACCCAGCGCCTTGTACATGCTAGGTACGTGCTCTACCACTGAGTTATATCTCCAGTTATGTTATGTCTTTCTATATTGTACATTTTCACTTTACTAATTTTTCTGTCTTGGATCACACAGATTGTAAAATACCTCATGTTGTAGTTTAAAGACCACGGAGTCATGGGGTACAGCCGTCTACTCTCCATGGTTATATGAGATGTGCCCCTAAATCCTTAAGGGAGAAAAACCTTGAGGAGCATAAACTGGTGTCTGAGCTGATACTAATTTGGCTTCTAGATTTTGGTCAGTCTGCTGAAAGAGCTTTGTGTTTATTTGTTTTAAAAAATGTTGTGGGTCTCACACATACAAGTAAGAATTGCTGGAGAAACCTAAGTCAGGGCAGGAAGTCACACTGATGCCTGTGTCCTGTTTGTGATGTCCTGGGTTAGTAAGATGTCCAGAGGACCTGGAGGGAGAGTGTTGAGAGCTTTCTATATGAGCTCTCACAGTTACATGCAAATCTACAATTAGTTCAAAATAAGACTTTGGAAAAACACTCACGCCCTTCATACTGTGAGGCTGTGTTAGGCTGTAGGACACAGGGAGAAAGAAAGAGCAAGACAGGAATACACTGAGATGAAATGGAGTGCCTTGAGCTAGCTGCTAAAGTGTAAGGTACTATAATAATTGAAGAGATTCACTGAGTCTAGAAATGATTAGACAGTGGGTCTCCATGTCCTCGAGGAAATATGATCAATCAGCAATAAACATTGTTTTTATTACATTTAGTCTCTCTCTCTCTCTCTCTCTCTCGCTTCCTCCCTCCCTCTCTCCCTCTCTCTCTCGCTCTCTCTCTCTGTGTGTGTGTGTGTGTGTGTGTGTGAGTGTGTGTGTGTGTTTGTGTGTTTATGTGTGTGTGAAAGAGACAGGGCACAGTTGTCCTGATTGGAGGACAATTTGTGGGTTCTGGGGAATCAAACTCAGGTCATCAGGCTTGTGGCAAGTGCTTTGCCCTCCTGAGCCATCTGAGAAACCCTCGATGAGCATTTTTATAAAGTACCCACATACACATTGAACAGAGAGCAACAATCCCTTAGAGTTTGGGTTAAGTAAAGAGAAACACTGTCCTCTTGCTGAAAGCATCAGGTGTTGGAATGGGTCAACAGGACAGACTCCTGGTATCCTCCAATGAAAACTTTAACAAGGTCACATGGTTTTAGATGTGTTTCTCCTCATATGTTTTTGTGATCTTAAAAACCTTTAAAATTTTTCTTTTAGATTTATTTGTGTGTATGAGTGTTTGCCTGTGTGTGTATATATATATATATGTGTGTGTGTGTGTGTGTGTGTGTGTGTGTGTGTGTGTGTGTATGTATGTATGTGCACCATGTGTATGGCTGTTGCTGGAGGAGGTCAGAAGACAGTGTCACATTCACTAAAATAATGTGTATTATAGATATTATAGATGGTTGTGAGCTACCATGTGGGCACTGGGAACTGAACCTGAGACCTTTGCAAGGACAGTAAATACTCTTAACCCTGAGCCATCTCTCCAGCCTAAGAAATTTTAATATACTCAAGCTATATCTGTTACTGATAGTGTCAGGTTCCCTTTCCTTACTTCCTGGAATTAAGAAAGTACATGGGCCACAGATGATGGAATAGAGCTCATCTTCCAAGGAAGCATAATTCAGAATTTCCAATCTGTCACACATTTCCAAATATTTAGAATTTTCCTGACATGGGTCAGATAGGTGGAGAGGGCATACCATTGTCTTTGTGACAAATTAACAAACAGTTAATTCTATGCTGGTTAATGTGGACACTTAAAACATTCTAGGGCTTTTTATCTAATTTTAGTGTATATGTTGAAAAGTGTACATAAAGTGCATTCCATGTCTTCGGTGTATTTTATTCTGAAGTGTGGATCTATTAATATCGTGTATTGACGAGAGATATTTGGGCCACTATGAATGGTGGGCTAGCAGTGTGTCTGCTGGTGAAGGTGTGTATCTGTTTCTTTGGGGCATACACTCAGGAGTGAAATGGCAGCATGGGAGGCTGAGAAGGAATGTAGAGAAGAGGAAGGCTGGGAGAGGCAGAAGCCAAGGGTAAAGTTCCTCAAAAGAAACTGTCCAGTGGGTCAAGTGGTTTACTTGGTGTTGATTTTTAAACCACTCTGTTTCCTTAGCCATCATCGTGTACAGATTGCCATGGACCTGGAAGTGCAGCAAGCTCCTAATGAAATCCATCCATGCGGGGTTAAATGCTGTGGCTGCCATCCTCGCCATCATCTCCGTAGTGGCCGTGTTTGATTACCACAATGTCCGAAATGTCCCCCATATGTACAGTCTGCACAGCTGGGTTGGACTGACGGCTGTCATTCTTTACGTCCAACAGGTCAGTGTCTTGCTGTATACATAAGCAAAGATCAAAACAGCCCAGTGACTGCAGATGTTTTCTAAACTTACTCTTTCACTTGCGTCCAGGATAACTCTTGTCTCAAGGGGCATTGGACCTCAGAATTCACAGCCGAGGAACTCAGATGTGTGATTTATCATGTTAACAGCTGTAGGTAGGGAAGTTGCCATCTCCGAACATCTAGACTAGCATTGCCCAGACTTCAATTCCATGTCCAGAATTAAGTAGCCTAGGTAGAAGCTATGTGTTTTCTTACCACCTTCTCTGCTGCATTTTTAGGTTAACCTTTCCTAAATGGTAATACCAATTTTTTTTAACCTTTTGCAAGATTTTAAAGGCATAATGATTTTGTTTTATTTATATGATTTTATTTACTCTTTGCACATATTGTGAAAGGCATGTGTTCTGAAAACACTGTACTGGAAAGAAATTTAATGGCATGTGATCCATGGCAGTTTTATGTCACCAGAGCAAAAGCTATATTCTGAGTCTTTTGGCTCTTTGTCACTTTGTTGAAAACTCTTAGCAAACTGTATTGATTCATTGCTGTTCCTTGTTAGCACAGGGTATATTCGGCTTCCTAGTTGGGTATCATTGTGAACTTTATTTTTCTATGGCTACAGAGTGAGACACTGGATGGGTATATATATACCTCCCCAAAGTTCGTCCTAGAATAAATGGCCCCTTTAAAAAGCAGGCCCTCTCACAAGACAGTGGCCATTTTTCTTCTAAATGAATATATATTTGTTAAACCTTAAATCATGATGTGTTTTCATTAAATAATGGTTAAGCTCTTGGATAAGCTCTTAGATATTTAAATCCATTAGCCATCCTGGAGTTTCAGGTTGGGAATGGAAAGGAGCCAAGCAGGAGGAAGATGCAGAGTAAAAAACTCCGCTGTGATCTTCCCAATCAATAAGGAAAATAGCTCTAGTTGGATAGCGAGTCTTGCTCAGATCATTGGATCTGGCTTAAGCTTCCAAGCCCTCAAAGCCCACCCCCAGTGACACACTTCCTCCAGCAAGGTCACACCTACTCCAACGAAGGCCACGCCTCCCAAGAGTGCCACTTCCTGTGAACCTTGGGGGCCAATTACATTCAAACCACCACAAGAATGTTAGAGAGAGACCATGATACTGAAAGAGAAAAATCAATGTAGAGATATCTTTCCCTCTTCAAATAATACCTATGTTTAATGTAATTTTCAATGTAAACCTAGTGGGAATCATAAAAAAATATTATGCAAAAGAATAAATATCAAAAATAACCAAGAAACTTTTAGGAAAGAAATGAAAGAACACCTTCCCTGTTTCAGTTATCAGCAAACAAAACAAATACAGGAAGGACCAAAGAGGCTAGAAAAGTCCAAGCATGCACAAGAACTTTTCATGTTATAATAACATTTATTTAACAGATACTGTGTATTTAAAAAACATACATATCATATTACATAATAATAATAAAAACCTAGATTGAGGACCTAAATTTGAAAACCAAAGACAAGGAAAAGAGGGGGAAAAAATGTGTGTAATTTGTGTGGTGTGAGAGGGGGTGGCTAGAAGGATGGTAAAAAAAATCCAAGAGCCATATAGGGGGAAAGGCATGTTTACTAAACTGTTTTTTAAAATGTACATGACATAGACATTGAAGTAAACAGAAAAGACTAAAAAACTGTGGGAGTAGTTCTGTATCATGTGTCATTGGGTGAGCAATGCTAAACATTAATAATAAAGAAGTCAACCAAATAGAAAAGACTTGGGGCCACCGAGACAGCTCAGCAGCGAAGATGCTTGCTGCCAAGCTCAACAGGCTGAGCTGGATCCCTTGGGTCTACATGCTAGAGAGAACTGACTCCTGTGGGTTGTCCTCAGAACTCCACGTGTGCATTGTGGCACATGCTTGCCCGGGTGCTTGAGCTTGCTGGAGAGAATGCATCTTAATTTATCATGATTAAACCGACCCATTCCGTGGTATTCCTAGAAGAGTTGGAGCCTGGTGGTAAGAGCCACTAGAAAGCTAAGACTCTTCTGGTAACTGGTGCAGCGGAAAGTGCTTCTGAGACTGGAATGTGGAAAGCCAGAATCCATGTTGTATTCTGAGCCTCAGCAAAGGGAAAGGACTGTGCTCGGAGCAGTACTGCATCGTACTGGCTCTGCATCAGGACCTTACACGGTTCACCCCCAGAGGGGTGGCATGGCTTGAGTAAAGAAAGCAAAGAAGCAAAGCAAAGCAAACAAACCAAAAACTGGGCAGGAAAATCTCACGTACTCAGGAGGCCGAGGCAGGACGATCACTAGTTCAAAGTAAGGTCCGGTAATTTAGGAAGACATTGTTTCTAAATGAAAAGTAGAAGAGGGCTGGGGTTACTGCTCAGAGGTAGATCGTTAGCAGGGTATGTGTAAGGCCTCTAGGTTAAATCTACAGTAGTGAGGAACCAGTTTTCATTTCCCAGTAAGGACAGCGGCACCGTGAATGTTGTCACCTTACGGTCACCACTTTTGTGGGGAGGACAGGATGCCTCAGTCTCCAGGAGCCATGGCCTGGGTCCTAGCCACATTGCTTCACAGTTCCCCTGCGAGGTTCACCTCCCGCACGCACGATGCTACCTTAGTTTGTGAGGTTGGTTTGCGCTCCTCCAGCTCAGTGCAAGGAACAATGCTAACTCAGAGGATGAAGAGGGAGGGAGATTTTAAGATTAAATGTTCTGCTGGAGCTTGAGTTCACCACTGAAAAGTCAGGGTTTGCTTGCCAAACTAGAGGAAGGCAAACTATAATACCTCCAACAGCCCGATGGGCTGGGAACACTTCAAACCTGTGAGACTTTCTCCCTGTGAGACGTAGCTTCTAGGACATTAAAACCAAACAAGCTTGAGTTTATACACATGTGCATGTGTATGTAGAAGTTAAGATCACTATAATTATAGGAACGTCTGTGATTTCACAGTCTACCTAGTTCGGGAAACAGGAGCCACCCCCTCTCTACCCATCCAATCCCGATCATACATTTCTGGAGCCGCTCCTGTCCCTAGAAGTCCCCAGCCTCTTCAAGTTTTCTTTTTCTTGCTCTCTGGTTTTGCTTTATACTTTTGCCACATACTGTCAATCAGTAGATTACCATAAAATAGAAAACGTGCTGTTCGTTGTGGTAGAATGAATGAGAAATGGTCCCCAGCTGACACTTTTGGGGGAGGTTTAGGTGGCACAGCCTTGCTGGAGGAAGTCCGTCCCTGGGAACAGGCTTCAAGAGCTAAGGTTCCCAGCACATCTAACTCACGCTCCCTGCTCCACAGCTGTTCTGAAGGTGGCGCTGTCAGCTTCCTGTCCCTGCTGCATTCCTGTCACTTCCTGCTTTGCCTACCCATCATGATGGAACCAACTCAGCCCTCTGGGATTCTTAGCCAAAATAAACTCCTCCTCACTATGTTTTCCATGTAGGGTTATAGTTGTTCAATTTTGTTTTCTTCCTATGGCTTTATTATGAGGTCCCCACCTTCCCCACCCTAACTTACACCGAAGCATTCTCCTCCTTTCCTTTCTCTGTTTTCGTTTTCTAAGAAAATCTTACCATGTAGCCCCGGTGGGTCTTGAACTCAAATTGCTGGCATGCACCACCGCCCTCTATTAATAATACCCGCACTCTTACCCCATCTGGAATCTGCTGTGATTTCGTGCTCCCCCTTCGTTTTTCTCCACGTGAGTTATTTCCACGGCATCTTTCTGCGACTCATCCCTGCTCTCACCATCAATCTGCAATGGCAGCTCTGTCACGTGTTCCTGTCTCTACATCCTAGACAGTACAGGAGAAGCTGGGGAATGTTCTGGAAGAGTGTAAGAGTGTATGGAGTGAGAGATAAGAATCCTTGACTCCTGTTTTTTGGAAAGATGTTTCTGAGAGTTTACTGTGGAGTATACTTGGTTTCCTATCGCTGTTTTGTAAAGAAGCTTTCATTACTCTTTGTATATCAGGAGTGAATCTGGAGTTTTAATGCATGCTTTTTCTCTATTGACATAAACATTATTTCTCTTCTTTAATCCTTTAATACAATCAATAAACAGCGAACTGAAAATGTATTTGATCATCTAGACATTCTCTGTGCTCTGAAATATCTGGATTCCTAGTTCTCTTTTTCCTCTGTATTCTCTGGGCTTCTCGGAAATTTGGTTTCACAACACTTCTTGGTTTTGTTTAGAGCAAGGGACATTGTCTGGTTGTTTGTTTTGTTTCTTATTTATTTGGGTTTAGGGTTTTTTTGTTTGTTTGTTTTGTTTTGTTTTTAACAAGGTCTCTTTTGGGTCTGGCTGGCCTGGAACTCCCTATATAAACTGGGATAACTCATAGAGATCCTTCTGCCTCTGCCTCTCAAATACTGGGACTCGGCACCACATAGGCGAGACCTGTTTGACACAGTACCTACATTTGATAGGTGGTGACCTTAGATGAGTTACTTCTCACCTACAGAAGTAAGTCTCTGGAATCAAAAGCAAATCATGCTTGAAAAGGCTCACCCCTGGGCACAGCACCTTGAAATGATTTGTTAGCTGTTGTCACTAGAGTGCACATGTGGCAGGCTCCTTTGTGATCTGAAAATGACAGCTTTCGTGTTTACTAGGGGTCATGGTATCTTCTTCATGGTCAAGAAATGCATAGGAGGCTCCACTGAGACCTGGGCCACAGCCCTGGGTTGAAATCTCAGAGCATCTTCTAGCCTGTGGGAAGAGTTTGATGTATTTGAGGAAGAGGAAGGAGGCAAGGCTGCCAATGGGTATGGAACATGAATTGGCAGATGTCGAGGCATCAGTATCGGAGGTCTAGTGGACAGTGTTCTGGGGTTCAGAGAAGGGATACATTGGCATAGAGGGGTGGTAGCAGCCGCAAGGGACAGTGGATAGATCCCAATGATATTTAGGGTGTGAAATCTAAAGAGTAGATTTGGGAAGACAGTGGCTGAAAGGATGAGAGCCAGTGGGTGGATGAGAAGAGGGTGCGGGGGAGCCCTCCAGGACATGATTTGGAAATTGTCCAGCAGGACTGGTGGGAGGAAGTCAGTGATGACCTTGGAGGGCAGAAGCAAGGCTGTAGTGGATTGAAGAGGAAGCAGAAAAGCTCTGCCAGGCCCTTTGGGTGAGTGGAGGGGGAAGGCTGTGGGCGATGTGGGCAATCACTGAGCCATGCTGTGAGCGAAGTTGGATTTGGAGATTTGGGGAATATTTGTGTGGGTTTTTTCCCTTCTGCTTTTCATTAGAGAAGTCTTGGCATGTAAAAAATACTGACAGAATGCCGCCAGAAAAGGAGGGTATGTGGGGACCAGAAAGACACAATAATCTAAAAGCAGGTCTCCAGGAGGCAGGCTGTAGACCAGCTGGAAAATCAGAGAAGCAACACCAACTTCATTGTCACTGAAGGAAGGGAGGGTTGGGACATTGTTTGGTGTACTGGCAGCACATCGAATCTCTTCTCAGAAGCAGCTCCTGGCCTGCCAAGAGGAAATGATCATTGAGCAGGATAGCATGAGTGAGCGGAGGTCTCGTTGGTGGAGCTGACAGCAGGGCTGAGCTTCTCTCAACCACGAGTTTCCACTGATGCAGCCTCCCTGGGTACCATCTCTCCATTGGGCCCAGCATCCACGGTTAGGGCTGAGCCAGGCTGGGATGCCAGGGGCACATGATGGAAAGGTGGTGTAGCTGGGAGCTGTCGGAGATCAGCCAGAGGCAGAGCAGCCATTTCAGTGACCATTTTCTGCTTTATAGATATCCATGGTCATGTTTTTCATAAGCTGGTTAGAATTTTCACCTTGAAAGCAAAGTGCCATTTTGCTCTTGCATGTAAGAAAACATAACTTGGATATGAAGTAGGCTAGAATTTCTCAAAGCCTGGTCACCAGGGCAGTAGCATTGGTATCTCCAGGGAAATAAGAAACACGAATTCTCAGCTTGCATCCTGATTGACTCAATCAGAAACCACTGGATTGGGGACCGAAATCTGCTGTGTAATAACTCTCCCAGGCCATTTGGGTGTATGTTCCTGCTTGAGAACAATCAATGAAAAGAAAAAGCTGTAACATAAGATCAGACATGACAGAACGATTTTAAAGAAAGAGTATTTTTAGTTCATGTATGAGTGCTTGCCTGCATGTATGTATGTATACCATGTGCATGCCTGTTGCCGTTTGAGCCAGAGAAGGGCGTCAGATCCCTAGTAACTGGAATTAGAGGAGATTGTGAACTGCCATTAAGTGCTAGGTAACTAACCTGGGTCCTCTACAAGATCATCAAATGCTCTCAACCACTGAGCCGTCACTCCAGAGCACGCATACACACACACACACACACACACACACACACACACACACACACACACACACAGCCCCCTGTTTAAAAGATGAAGTCTTATTTTGGAGACCAGCCTGGCCTGGAAACTTGCTGTCATTCTCCTGCCTCAGCTTCCCAAATGCTGGGATTCCAGGCATGTGCCACCACACCTGGCTATGTTATAGCGAGCCCTATGCAAGGAACCTGGTGCTCTCTTCCTGCTTCTGAGGGCATCACTGACCCACACAGTACACTTACATAAATACAGACAAACACGCACATAGAAACATCTGTTTCTTTATGTATGTAGGCATAACAAAAGCCTAAAGGAACTAAAGTCAAATGTAATCATGGCTTTAGATTTGTCATTATCAGTGATTTTTGTCTTTCCTTTATATTTTTCTATGTTTAGTACATTTTTAAAGTAACATGATCCTCTGTGGTGGTGTGAATGAGAATGGCCCCATAGGCTCAAATGTTTGAATGCTTGGGAAGGATTAGGAGGTGTGGCCTTGCTGGGGGAGGTGTGTGACCAGGGTAATGCTTTGAGGTTCAAAAGACTGTTGCCATTCTCAGGCTCCCCCCCACTACCTCTCTCCCTCCTACTTTCAGATCAAGATGTAAGCTCTCAGCCATTCCTGCCATCATGCCTTTGCTCTGCTATCATGGACACTAACACTTTGAAACAGTAGCTCAAACTAAACACTCTCTTTCATAAGTCATCTTGACAGATGGTGTCATATCATAATAGAAAACTAAGGCTCTGTTATAATTGGATAATAAAAGTTTACTTTTATAGAGCCTGTTTTAAACAGTTGAGCTTTTCTCAATTAGCTATTCTTCTCTTTAAATATATGAATATCTCCATCATGCTTGCTTATCCCACTTTAAGAAATAGATGTGGGTTCTGGAAACCAAACCTAGGTCCCCTCCCAGCATATACAGTGCTCTTACCTGATGAGCCATCTTTCCACCCTCCTAGATGTTTAATTTTAAAACACAATTAAGGCTAGGCAGTGGTGGCACACGCCTTTAATCCCACCACTTTGGAGGCAGAGGCAGGCAGATCCCTGTGAGTCTGAGGTCAGCCCGACAGGCTCCAAAGCTACACGGAGAAATACTGTCTTGAAAACAAACAACCAACCAACCAACAGATCTTAGAGGAAAAATGGTCAAAAAAATGAGAATGTAAGAACTATGTATTTTGACAGGAGGTCTCAAAAAAAAAAAAAAAAAAAAAAGATACAAAGTTGTGTTTCAGAGAACTACTGTAAAAAATCCCCAGATTTCATTGATCCCCAGATTTCATTGAGCTGAACTGTATTTCCACCAGCATTGAGAAATTTGCCTTTTCATACTATTAGAATCACTAAAGGAGTTGTGGGAATATTTTGAAATACCAAGAAGAAATGCTCTGGGCCATTTTCAATATACTCAGATATTAGGCTATTAACTGAACAGTAATATATACCCAAAGCCCATCAAAATCTCCCCATCCATCACAAATGCAAACTCAATGGACTCTTAAGTTCTCAGGGCTTTGGACCAACCCCTTCCCGCCTCTGTTCTGGTTCCCTTCCCCCATCAGTCTTCCCATGATGTGTACCAGGAGAAAGGGACAATTCACCACAATTAATCTCCCAGTCTTTTCTGTTTTAATTTTTTTGATTAGACATGTAAATCCTAAATCAGTACTTGAAGAAAAAAGTGCCTTTAAATTCAATAATCAGATAGCAACTACATCACCTTTTACTTTATCTAAGAGAGAATAATACTTACTGGGAGCTGGGATCAAACTAACAGAAGTATGGGGGAGAAACAGGCCAGCATGTGCAGGGATCTTACCCATCTCTCTAGGAAGTGTCCCACCATAGACTTAGTTACTGAGGAGATTAACTCGGGCAGCAGAAACACACTGTCAGCTTCTTTCTTTCTGGTTTTGGTTTTTGAGACAAGATCTCTCTGTGTAGCCCTGGCTGTCCTGGAACTTGCTCGGACTCAAGAGATTCGATTGCCTCTGCCTCTAGGTGCTGGGATCAAAGGTCATGACATCCTGCCTGGCATCATCTTTGTAGGCTGACCAGACTGAGCTATGTGTCCAGTGTTTGGTTTTAGGTGAAAGGAAAAAAGAAAGAAAGAAAGAAAGAAAGAAAGAAAGAAAGAAAGAAAGAAAGAAAGGTGTTTCCCTTCATACTTAGTAAACAAATTGCTATATCCTTTAAAATAGAGTATTAACTATTAAACAATTAAACTAGACAAATTTGGAGATCTACTGATCTCCAAGATACACTGTTAAGGAAAAAGTGAGGTGCCCATGCATACATTTAAAAACAGCAGCTGTGTTAACTGGGCACACTCAGTCTTAGTACTTGGGAAGTTGAGGTTGAGACAGGAAGATTGCAAACTTGAGGCCCGTCTGGGGAGACCCCCTGCCCCTATACACACACACACACACACACACACACACACACACACACACACACACACACACTTTCTAGAAAGATATTTGAGACAAGAGTTATAGATATTACCTTTGGATGTTGGAACTGTTGCACAGAGAAATTTGCTGCTCATTTTATGCCCCTTGCTTCTGCTTCTGCCTCCTGAGTGCTGGGATTGGAGGCATGTGCCACCATGCCCAGCTAGAAGAATAACTCAAAGCTACAGTAAAGGATAACCGTTGTGCTCTGGTCTTCAGCTTGTCCTAGGCTTTTTGATCTTTCTGCTCCCATGGGCTCCGCTGTCTCTCCGGGCAGTCGTCATGCCCATACATGTGTATTCTGGACTTCTCCTCTTTGGAACAGTGATTGCAACAGTCCTCATGGGAGTGACAGAGAAGCTGTTTTTTGCCCTGTAAGTTTGTAATTTCTTTCTCTTAATACTTAAGCTAGAAAATGTTAAGTATTTATTCAGTGGGGAAATATAATATAGATAGTTACTTCAAAAGATTTACTCTTATTTTCTGCTCGGATGAGCATGGCTACTACATGTATGCGGTGCCATCTGAGGCCGGAAGAGGGCATTAGATCCCCTGGAGCTGGGGTTACAGGCAGTTACACCCTTGTGGGTGCTGGGAAACAACTTGGGTCCTCTAGAAAAGCAGCAATGCTCTTAACTGTTGGGCCATCTCTCTAGCCCCATAAATAGTCAGCTTATTATTAAAACTTTAAGTTAAAATTTTTAAATATAGTTTATCATCCCATACACATAGTAAAATATTACTAAAAACAGAATTATTGGGGTTGTGAGTTGTGCATTCATCTTTTGGGGTTGCATATTTTTAAGCTAATTGTAGTTATATTATGTATACATTTTTGTTTGTTTCTTTTTCCAGTTTCTAATTGGCATGAGGTATCCCAAGTGCTATATTCTTTTCTTACTTGGAATTTTAGAGTATTCTGTGAATCAGTATAAGCTCTTTAATGCCATGCTGTAAGGACATTTATGTTGAAACTGTACCATGGTTCACTCTGAGCAGGTGGATTCGGTGTATGTTGTGTGCTCATACCTGGGTCCACTTTCTCTTTCTTCATAGGAAAAATCCTTCATACCATTCATTCCCACCAGAGGGGGTTTTCACAAATACCCTGGGCCTTCTGATTCTGGTTTTTGGAGCCCTCATCTTCTGGATTGTCACCAGACCACAGTGGAAACGTCCCAGAGAACCCGGCACTATCCTTCTTCAGCCAAACGGAGGCACGGAGGGGATGGAAGGCGCCATAGCAATAAGTTCCAGCCACAGCCCAGACTCAGCAGATGCAGAGTTAAGCAGCGAGGGGGCAGCCAGGAAAAGAACCCTCGGCCTTGATGATGCTGGCCAGAGATCCACCATGTGAAATGTACAGCCATGTACCTTCTCTCCCAAAGCCAGCCCTACAATTCAGCTTTTCCTGCCTAGCCATAGGTGACTTGGGTTCATAGTGCCAATGTATGTGGTCACCAGGGAGGATTTCCTGAGAGCGACTGTATCGTGAGGCCTGTGAACTTACCAAATGTAAAGGACATGATCAATGTAAGTTGTGATTGTTTCCTCTGTATTCTTGAGGATCCGAGCATCGGACACACCTGCCAGTGGCTTTGTTTGCTGAGCTAACAGCACCCTTGGCTTCTTGCTATGCTCCATTAATTCTGGGAGTCCAGCAATTTCAGAACAAGGTAGAACCAGTCCTAACTTTTAAAATAAGATCACAGATACCTGGAATAATGTTTGAACCCTTATGCCACACAACTACTGTGAGTAAAACTGTTGGGGGGAGTGGCACTTTAGGAAAATAATTAATTCCCTTTTCCCCATGGTGGCTCTCTGTTCCCTCTCCAGCTAATTTGGGCTCACCTGGGCCCTGAACATGAGAGTATTCATGAGGGTATTATGGAGCAGTTGCTGGATCAAAGACAGCTAAAGAGATCTCTGGTTAGACCTGGAAGATTTTCTTATACTCAGCCCAGTGCCTAGACTTCCAGGAACTGGTCACTTCACAGTTCAGCTGAACCTCTTGCAATGCAAACACGCCTGAGCTCAAGTCAAAAGAACCTCTCTGCATCCACACACCGTGACGAACACTTTCCATCAAGTTTCTGTTTTACTTTCCAAAGTGCTGCCTTGGCTCTTACTATGTGCAAGCCACTCTCCTACTAGGCACTCTACGGTCTCCAGACAGATGTTGTAGACAGGTATTGCTACTAGCTCCCTTTTTAGGGGAAAGATCTGAAGCTTGGAAAGGTTAGTAACTTGGCCCAACATCACATAACTCTTAAGCTGATGGAACTGACATTCAAACCCTGGCAGTCTGGCTCCTCTGTCCGTGATCCTACATTTCACTATGCTCCTTTCCCATTTACACTACTTGGCAGCACTGTGCTCCACCCCTGAATAAAGTCACTGAGAGGAGTTGTTACAGGACACTGCCTTACCCTTGGTCCACTTCCAAGGGGACCCTTTAGAGAGTGGGAAAGGCGCCATAAAGTTTTAGCCAAAAACCTTGGGGCCTCAGCCACTATGAACAAGCCAGAGCCTGCCTCGATGCCCTTTTAATCTTAACAGGGCATCTATCTGTCTTGCTGACAGGAAGACCTAGGCTAGGACACGCACAGCCTTCAAGATTAAGTCATTACAGTGCAGGTTCCTCACAGTCTCAGCTGCTGTCCTTTCCTGGGGCCATAGGCAGGTTCTTTCCTGAGTTTTGTGGAATTTGGAGTTCTTAGTAGAGAACTGAATTCAGAGATGATGATATTTGATGTGATTAGACTTGTCTCAGCTCTGAGCTCTGAGGGAAACCTGCGGTAGTAACTACAGAAACGATGCCTCATGGAGATTGGTATATTTTTATTTCTGCTCTACCTTCTGATTGTGACACTTGGGCATGGATGTGTGAGCTTGTAGTTCAGGCTGCTTGAGAAACTGATATCCAAGGGTCAGTTCAAAGCCAGCCTGGGCAACATAGTGAACCCTTCTCTTGGGTTCTCTAGAAACCCAAGTTGGCCCCCCTCTTCCTGTTCTGAAGGTGATCTTGAACATGTGGCCTTGCCTTCACTTCCCAAATGCTGGGTTACAGGCATGTGCAGGCCACAAGTTACCATGTCTTAGCACAGCTCTGTCTTTCAAGTAAAATATAAAGATAAAGCAAAGTACAAGAATTTTAATATGGAGAAAAAAACTTGTAGTTTACAGTAAAATATACGTTACTTCATAGTGAAAATCCTTTTAGGTAAAATGATCATTTTCATAGCCGGGTGTGATGGCACACACCTTTGATTCCAGCACTTGGAGGCAAAGGCAGGTGGATCTCTGAGTTCAAGACCAGCCTTGTCTACAGAACGAGTTTCAGGACAGACAGGGCTGTTACACAGAGAAACCCTGTCTCAAAAACAAAATAAAACAAAACAAAAATATGGTTATTTCCAAAGACCACGTACAACTCAGTCTATCAGAGCTCTTAAACTTCAGAATTCCCTCAATGCGTCATTGCTTTCTTCTTAATTAATTCTATTTCCAAAACTGGTTAACAGCATCAGAAGGACTATGAGTGACCAACCCAAGGTCACTCCAGCTAGATGAAGAGTTCGGGCCAGCCTGGGATACATGATACCTTTTTCAGAAGTCCAATAAATAAATAAAGTTCATATGTGTGCTAAGTAGGAGTAATTACATGCTTACACAAAGCAGTTTGCTAAATGATGATTCACCATAAAGAGCTGGGTCAGATCCTGGGGTTATTTTGGTGGGGGGAGAATGGGAGGCTCGTAACTGAGCCCCAAGAATCATGGCTGCCTTTCCTTTCCTTGAAGGCCCCCAGAGGCTATCAGTGCAAGGCTAATTACGAGGCACTAGAATAGCTCCACTGCAAGTATTAGAGCACCCCTCATCTCAGCCCCTATTTCCTCTCAAGTGGGCTAATGTGAGGGTAATATTATAGGCACCACTTTCCTTTCTTCTCCAGCTTTTATGAAAGGATACATAGCACAATATATCGAAAAGATCTTTCTATTTGAGACTCTTCTTTTAATGGGCTCTTTATTCCAATGATAATTATACCTTTATCTTTCAAAAGCTGATGTTTCCTACCTAAAGCATCTCCCCCCAAAAATATCACATTAAAAAGTCTGCAAAGAATAGAGGAGAAGAAAGCCTTGGGTATCAATTCCAAACAGTGATTGAAACCTCCCAAAATAATTATAGCTTATATCCTCTACAGAGATTATCTGGCTTGGCTTACCCCATAATCTAATTTCAGGGAAGAAAGCTTTATTTCACCACTGATCTACGTCGACATGAAAGCCTTCTCTTTCCCAGGGCTTGGCGAGAAATCCAAATGAATATACTATATTGAATTAATGTCATCAAAAGTGTACAGCTTTCCTGTGCTTCTGTCAAACAGAGCCTGTTCTCCACAGCACTGTCTTCCCGTTAGCAGTGGGGTTTTCTTTGAATCTGTGCACTTAGAATGGAATGATAGATTAAGGCAAGCATACTTTTTAAGGTCTGGTGACAAGTAGTTTCTGTTTTCTAAAGGACAACAGCGTAAATTGTATGTCTCATGTTAATTAGGCTTTCTTCCCTGCGGAGCTGGAAGCCTCAGTGCACACGCACTGACCTCGGCTACACATAGAAAACACAAAGGAGGAATTCGTGTCTTATGCCAATTTTAGTTGTAATATGATAGAATATTTAGCTTTAGATGTCCATCTTTCTTTCTTCTTTTTTGATAACTCCAACAGGAAATTTCTATAACTTCTAGGTCTAATAAGAATGCAGAGGAGAAAATGGCTGTTCCTTGTTTATGCTAGCTACCTGAACACTTTAAGTGCGAAATAATGTTATCTATAAATTTGTCTTTTCATCTCAGTATGTTGATGGAAAAGTATTATCTTGACTATTTTATAATTTTGTAGGGAATATATGTATCTATTTTTCTCGACCTTTAATCTAGCAATAAAAAGTGACTTGTAAGCTTTGTGTGTGTGTTATCTGTTTGTCCTAATGTAGTGGGTATAATCCTTTTTCTTGAAGTTTCTTTCTCATAATTTATTTTTTAGTTGCTTTTCCATTGGGTTACTTTTCTCCCCAGTTCTTTTATTGAAAATACGCTGAGCTTTTTCTGTATGCTCTGAGTACCTGTCTTTGTATGATGCTATGAGACTGTCAAACCCATGCCATTCCCTTCAGCACAGGATCTGAGTTGGAGCCCATGGCAATGTGGAAGGATGCTGTGGACCCTGCAGATAGATGGGAGGAAAATCACAAACAAGTCTATCCAATGCACTGCCTGCTAAGTAACTGCTCATGGTTGTTGCAGCGGTTTCCTCCTGTCCTGCCTGGTTCTGCCACCTTTCTCAGCCCCCAAATTAGTTATATAACTGTTGGCTGGTGGCTAGGGCTTCTGATGGGATAGCTCTGTCTTAATTATTAATCCATTTCTATTAATCTAAGTATTTCCACGTGGTCTTACTGTACCCGAGAAGGGTCCGGACCTCTAACTCCTTTGGCAGCTCACATGGCCACTGTCCTCTGCCTACACTCCCCAGAATTCTCCTCTCCTAAGCCCACCTATCTCCCTGCCTCTATTGGCCACAGCGTTTTGGTCATCAAACATGCATGCAGAAGGACAACTCCCATCACATAGTAACTTTTAAAAAGATATTTATTTTTGATTATGTGTTTGCCTTGGTGTCTGTGTGTGGGTGTGAGCTGTTATAATTCAGGGTACTAGTGAATAAAATTTAGAAAGGCCAAGATTAGAAGAAAATCTGTTGACTTCCTCCAATATCTTTGCTCTTGCTGTGGCCACTACTTTCTGGCGGTCCAAGGTCTCTTATCATGCCCATCTGCCTGGGGATTTCCTGTTCACTATTTGTTACAGGCCTTCTGCACCAGCAGTGCGTGCTCCCAGTGGCTGAGCCATTTCTCCAGTTCCATCAACGCCTGGATCACTTCAAAATGGATTCCTATCGGTTGCCTTTTTCTTTTGATAATGGACGGCATAGGATTATTTTTTAGTTTATCTACCAGTTTACCTTGCATTTTGAATATCACGAATAGAAACTTGAAGAGATTCTAGGATCTGTTACATGCCCCTAAAGCAATGGTTCTCAACCTCTGGGTCACGACCCATTTGGGGTCACATATCAGATATTTACATTACAATTCATAACAGTAGCAGAATTATGGCCCTGAAGTTGCAATGAAATAATTTTATGGGTGGGAGGTCACCTCGGCATGAGGAACTATAGCAGAGGATCGCAGCATTAGGAAGGCTGAGAACCAATGCTCTAAAGAGTCTAAACTGCTTTAATAGGCAGTTAATAAATAGTAGGTGAACTCTCTTATTTTAGTTTTGAACGAGTTGCTTGGAGTCTACCTCACATATATGTTGTTGGATAAGGGCCAAGTCGGGTATATGTGCAGAATTTAAAGCTCATCTTGTAATGTCAATCTTGGTTTGTCAGTTTGGGAAATACGCAATATTTTTGTTTTATTTATTTTAACAGATTTTTCTTTTATTTATCTTTACTTGGCTCCTCTGCCAGAGCAATGCTCACTCTGGATTGCTGAGTCATCTCTCCAGCCCAGAGAGCTTTTTGTTTTAATAGCTGGAGAAAAGCTGGTCTGAACAGCACTGCTCCAGGTGACCTTCCAACTTCTAGCTGAGCCACAGACCTCGTTAATTACCTAATTTAATCCTCATCCAACCAGATGCTGCGGAAAGTGCGCCTGCTTTAAACATCTTGCAGGATCAGGTGAGAGTCTTACTTTCATTGTAAGGTAGAAACAGCCAGGGAAATGCCAAACAACTGTAGCCTAGGCTTACAGATCTCAGCACACTGGAGTTTTGATCGCCGAACGAGAAATAATTCTGCACAGAAGAATGTGTTCTGTCAGCTTGACACTTCAGAACAGAACAGGGACAAAGCACATTCACAGGGAAATAGGTGCACAGAACTAAATACCTCACTACAAGGTCAAGTCATTTTTAACATGGACTCTGAGAAGTTTATTTCCGGTCATTTGGGTATTTGATCTACAGGAAGCAATCCACTCAATCTTCTCAATGTTTAAAACTTTAAAACTGTACGACAAGTAGGAAGACTAACGTAGGGGACACACACTGCCTGTCAGATTCAACAACTCCGTCCCTTTGTAGTTACTGCATCTCCCTCCTCTTTTTCTTTCCCTGGCCCTGTCTCCTCATGCTCTGAAGGCCAGTCACAGGCACAGCACAACTTCACCAGAGACTTCAGCCTGCACCTCTTAGGCGTAAATAGCGGCATGCGGTTAGCTCATATGCACTTGAGGAAAACATACAGATCGTGTCCCAGAAACTATCATGAGATAGACTGGTTTTCATTTTCACTCACTTTCGAAAGGCAAGACCGTGAAGTAGAAGGAAAAAGAGACAGAAAAACACTTTGGTGACTTGGATAAGAATGGCCCCCATATACTCAGATATTTACTTTTCCCCAACATAATATATTTTATTAATATTGGGGGGGGGAATTTCATACAATGCACCCTGATCACACTTCCCATTCCTTCCAAGTCCAACTTGCCACTCTTGACCCTCCAGAAAACAAAAAGCAAAATCAAAGGAACAAGCCCACCAAGTCCAATTTGTGTTGTCATTGGAGCATGCTCAAACTCCCAGTGCACAGCCTCAAGAAAATTGAGTCTTTTCCCATCTGTACCCCTACCCCTGCCAGAACCCATCAACTTTGAAGAGCTACACTTCAGCATCTTTATCACGATTTTTTAAAGACTCTGTTCAATAGCTTCATATCTGAACTACCCCCTCCCCTTTTATTTGTGTGTGTGTGTGGGGAAGAGGTTGGCATCTTCAATGTCTCTCATTCTCAGTTATAAGTCTGCATTCACAGACACCACTGCAAAAGAAACTTCCCCGACTGTGGCAGCCAGCAGCAGCGTGGATCTCGACAGTCATCATGGTTTCTGGCAGCAGCATGGATCACGAAAAGTCTTCCGTGGAGACTTAATCCAAAAAAATGAATCTTTCTTCATCTCGGATATCTTGTTGTTGCTCAGAGTCAGGGTGCCGTACATCCATTGTCTTGCTCTTGTTGCTGGCTGGCCTGGCCACGCCCACGTGCTGTCCTCCTCCAAGAAGGGCAAGCGGCAGCAACAGTTGGACCTGTAGGCCAAGCAGTAGCATCAACCCAGTGGGTGAGGACTGGGTAAAGCAGGCCCAGCGGTGGTCTGAGGACCAGCTCTCTTGGCAACGGCATGATGATGCTTTGTGTGCTGTGACCACACTCCCTCACCTGTTGTAATGCCCCATCTACATTTTTGCTTCTCTCTGCCATGTGTGCTGCTTTGTTCCACCATCATTTTTCTCTCCTATCTAAGTAATATATTTGATTGCTTAGTCAACTAGAGAGTGGCACTATTTGAAAGGATTAGAAGGATAGGAGGGATGGCCTTATCGGAGTAGCTGTTGGAGGAAACGTGTCACCCTGGGTGGGCTTTGATGTTTCAAAAGCCTGTGCCAGACTCAGTCTCACTCTCTCTGCCAGTGAATCGGGATGTAGAACTCTCAGCTCCTTCTCCAGCACCATGTCTGTGTGCATGTCTGTGTCCCTCCATCATGATAATGGACTAAAGCTCTGAAACTGAAGTGAGCCCAGATAAATGCTTTCTTTTATAAAAGTTGCCTTGATCATGGTGTCTCTTCAAAGTGACTAAAACAAACAAGGAAAAGATTCAGTGAAACTAATATTGTTATTACTTCAGAAAGGACACATGGCTTAAAGCAGTAATGAGTATCACATCATTTTAGCATGTCATGTTGACTGGCAGATCCAATTATCCTTTTCCTGTGTGGTGTGTGTGTGTGTGTGTGTGTGTGTGTGTGTGTGTGTGTGTGTGTGTTAATGTATTTGTGTGTGTGTGTACAAGTGCACACATATGATACTTGGAGGGGAGGCTGTCAGGTGTTCTGCCTTGTTACTCTGCCTTGTTCTTTTGAACCATGGTTTCTCACAACCTGGAGCGAGGCTGATGCTAATTCCCCAGTGTCTGACTGCACAGCACTGGGGTTTTAGGCATGCACATTGCTACCCTCGGCTTTTCACCTGGTGCTAGGACACAAACCCAATGTCGAGGCGTCTTACCCACCAGGCCATCACATGGCAAATAGATTATTCTAAGTTCCAGGTTTAGGACCAGTCTCTATCTTCAAATATTGTAATTTTAATCAGGCCAGAATCTGGTAAGAGATACTCAGATATCCTATTCTACTTTATCGTGCTAAGGCCAACTTGCCCTCCGACATGGGGATCCATAGACATTGGCCAGGGATTCCTGTGGTTCTGCCTCTCCTTTGCTCTGGGTGAAGTGTTGTTCCTCAGGGTCGCAGAACCCAGGTCTCAGCTTTACCCAGTCTCACCAGGGTTGATTTATCAGCTCCTTGTTTCACCTCCCTGATTTCTACACTTGTTGAGATTTGAACTCGAAGACTTACCAGCTAGATATTTGTTAATGTTCATGAACAATTAACCAAGAGAAGCAGACTAGCATAGCAAGAGAGACAGGAAGTAGGTGAGGGAGAGAAACTAGTGTGAGGCAGCCAGAGCTGCTCTGGAATGGATAGCAAGCTGTGGTAGTGGCCCTAAAGTTAACTAAATCCTCTCTGCCTGCATCACAGTATCTTTCCCTAGTATCTTTACCCTCTCCTGTTTCTGTGTCCTAGCCCTACTATTTCCCCTACTGAAGATCATTCTATTTAAGGTGTATATAGAGCAAGATGGGTACTGGGGAGGGGACCCCAACATTGAGATCTCTCTCTCATATACACATACATAATTAGCAATGAAATATAACAAATAATTAATGAACACTTGCAATCTTTGGGGCAGAGTAAGATAATGAAAAATGTAAATGCCTCTATTATATCTATATCTTATTACTATTTTTTTTGAGACAGAGTCTCACTGTGTAGCTTAA